GGGTCTGAGTGGTGCTTCTGTTTACATATAAACTTCCTGGTCCGGGGGACAATTGGAGGGTGGGGGAGGGGAGCGGGAAAGAAAAGGAGAATTTTTTTAATTAAATGGCCTTCTCTCTAAAAATAAAGTCCACAGAACGTGGTGGAGCCTGAGGAATCCAGGTTTGATTTAATGGCCAGGTACGAATTTTTTTCTTTTAAATTTCTCCCTCCTGAGTTACATCCTGCAGATGAAGCTGTTTTGGAAACACAGTTTGAAACCAAATACAGATACAGATTTATGTACATAGATGTATTTTTTTAAAAAAGAAACAAGGGAGAAAGAGACCTCCCTTACCTTCTGAGGACCAGAAGAACGCTCAGTCAAACCAGCCAACTGCTTCAGTCCTGGTCTTGTTGGATTTTTGAGGAGTTCTGGTTTGATTTTTGTTTAGCTTAGGTTTAATTTGGTCACCATAATACTCTGTAACAGGAGAATGAGCTGAAAATAATGGAATTTAAGGCCAATTTAGAACTACCAAAAAACACACATATAAAAGAATCTAGATAATGGTATTAAAAAGCCAAATAACCTCATACTTTCAAAAGAATTAGAAAAGGAAAGTATTTCTTCCTTACTCAAAAGGAAGCAAAGCAAAGCTATGGGAGGGGGCACGGGAGGAGCTGGAAATGCCAAGTGGTTCCCAGGGAAGGGACAGTTCATTTTCAAGATTTATAATTTGAGGAATTGTTTTGAAGATTAAATTTTTTGGGGCAGGGGGGGGTTCTTCCCGGTACCAGGGATCGAACTCACGACCTTGTGCTTGCCGGGCAGGGGCTGTGCCGCTGAGCTAAATCCCCAGCCCGGAAGATTAAATTTTAAAAGACAAAATAATTCCTCTTTTTTGTTCTTCTTGGTATAGAGAAAGAGACGGGGATTTAAGAAAGGTTCTGTTCCAGACGTAGGTAAGAACATAGAACAAAATCTCCATGAAAACACAGCAGAAACTGGGGTTCTAAGGACATTTACAACCAGATACAAATCTGGTGTGCGGGTCTGACGTCCAAAAGAGTCCATAATAAAACGGATCCCAAAGACCTGATCACCAGTTCCCTTTTGCATTTCTAACCAGGGAGTTCTGGATTTCTTTATTTTTGGGCAAATATTAAAGCAAATTTTTACTGTTTGCTCTTGTCAAATAAAAAGGAAAAGTATTTCTTCAATAAATCTTTCCATTTTGAGCCTCCAACTAAAGGATTCTGGAAAATCAAACACCTGCCCTTTGAAAATAAATTTGTCAACAGGAGCAGCAAAAAGGAGACAGAGGAAGAGGAAGGGGAGGAGGAAAGAAAGAGCAAATAAAAGTTGAAATTAAATCCTGGAACCCATTAATTACTCCTTCAGGAAAAAAAAAAAAAGAAATTTTGTAACTGTTTCATTTTCCTCAATAAATTCTATGATTCCCCTATTCCATCACCGCCTCGGCCTCTGCCTTCTTCCTCCTCTATCTCTCTCACCTGCTAAGTGGAGGTGGTTTCCTGATATTTTCTTTCTTTTTTGGGGGGGGGGATTCTGGGGATCAAACTCACGACCTTGCACTTGCCAGGCAGGTGCTTATGCCACTGAGCTATATCCCCAGGCCTCTGATATTTTCTAACACGAATTCCTTTGGGCACCTGGCCGCTGGAAGGGAGCTGCTTCAGGAGCAGGAACAAAAGGACACAGGAGAATGAGGACAGAGCGCTCCGGGTGACCATTCAGTCACGGAGCAGGGGACCGGATCCAGCCGCCCGGAGCTCAGGAGATTCCGAAAGGCCACGGGTGAAGGCACTGAGAAGGGGTGCCTGCCTCGCTCACCGATGTCCTTCCACCCCCAGTGTCCTGCAGAGGGACTTTGAGAAGGTGAAGCAAGTCTCCAGGCTGAACACAGTGGCTGGATAAAGGAGAAAGAGTTCAGGGCCCAGTGGCAAATGTCAGAGGTGGTCAGAGAGCAGGGCTGAGTCACAGTGCAACATCAGACTGCATTACGCGGCCAAGCAAAGTGTAACACTGTCCTTTGCATTTCAAAACACGAAGCCACTGGGCCCTGGGGTCTGCCATGGGCTCTGGTCTGGGTCATAGAATTTATCATCCAAAACAGAGCGTTTTGAGACCAAAAAAGGGGGATTCTGTTATAATTATACTAGGGGACAACCCGTATGACTGTCCTACGCAAACCTGGGCACTGCTGCGTCTAATTTTTTGTTGTGATTGGTTTTTGGGACTGGGTCTAGCTATGTAACTGCAGGCTGGCCTTAAACTCACTACGTAGTCCAGGCTGGCCTCAAACTCACAGCGACCCTCCTGCCTCAGCCTCTCAAGTGTAGAGATTACAGTCATGCACCACCATGCCCCACTTGCTGCCCTAATTTGAAAAGCCCTCCAAAGTCTAAGAGATAAAGTCTAGCTGCCCTCAGAAGCTACTCCAGAGGAGGCCAAGCCCCAGGCAAGCTGTTTCTCCCCAGTGGACAGGTGTCCCACAGCAAGAAGCAGTGTCTGGAAGCCCCTCAGTCCCTCCTGGACAGCCACCATCTATGTGAGCCAATTAGAGACACGGAGATGGCCAAAGGCAATTGGACTACACGGCGCTGCTTGCCTCAGCTGTCTCTCCAGGTATTTGGCTCCAGAAGGTCTTCTCTCGGCTTCTCAGGCAAATACTGCTCTAAACTCCCAGAGTCCAAGGCCAGCGGGGTGGGCTGCAGGTGCAGGCCTTGGGCCCTGGGCAGTGCCAGCCTGCAGAGCCCGTGAGGGCTCCTGACTGTTTAAGATGACAGTGGCAGACCTAGAGCCGGGAGAGGTAAAGCAGACACCCCCAGGGCGCGGTGCAGATGCCTGTAGTAACGCGCATGCGCTCAGCTCACACCCGCATGGCCGCCTCCCGGGCCCTGGGATCCACCTGCAGGGGGCCTGCAGGGGCTGCAGAGGGAAGGGTCCTCCTGCCCCCAGTCCACAGGACTCAGAGTACCTCGGTTTCCCTGGGGCAGCTTCTCCCCACGGCCTGGGGCTGCACCGAGCCCATGCTGCCATTGCTCCCACACGCATGTCCCGGGGGGTCGAATCAGGGCCTCTCTGAACAGGGAGGCGCTGTGATGACCACAGAGTATGGAGCCGGGCCAGACGCTGCTGGCCGCCCCGTACCACATGTGTCACGCACTGTGTGCGGCACTGCAGTGACTGGCCCTCGCTGTTTCTGCATATCGATGACCACTCTGCAGCCCGAGGGGTTAGGGTTTGTAAAACCGAGAGCTTCTGGTGAGATGGGAGCCCACCCACGGGCAGAGTCCTGCCGGACCCTAGTGGTGCCCGGGTGAGGGACGTGGCTGGGATCAAGGAGTCGAGATCCTCACGCCACAGCGCGCAGGAGCTCCCAAGCGCCACCTCCTCCTCCACCTCTGTCCTCCACTGAGGGACGCTCACCCCACCTGCTCCGGACGGCTAAACCAACCACACTTCCCATAAGCCCTCTACTTCCCTCGCGTATCCCCTCGGAGGCAGCAGCCTGCCTGCCTAGCAAGGTCTTCCTCGCATCCTCTCCAATCCACCGCAGGGCTCAGATGAAAAGACAGCCGCTCCATCTCTACCCAAGTCCGGGTCAAGCCTCCTCGCCACGGCCCAGTCACCCTGTTTGGCACAGAACGAGCCACAGGAGTGGGTCCCACCATGATGCCCTGAGCACCAGAGGCAGAAAGCTGCCAGGTCAGTTCTTCCCCCTCGCCCCTGACCCTGAGGCCTGTCACGGAGCCAGAGCCTGCGAACTCGGAGCCATGGGTCAGCTCAGAACCCTGAGGACCCACTCACGCTATTCCGTTTCCTCCAGCGGCAGCGTTATCTCCAGAACCAGGAATGTGTCTCCCCTGATGTCTAAAAAGAGCGACCAAAATGATTTGAAATGGAAACGGACCAGGACTTTGCCATCGTGGTGGAGCAAGACGTTGGCTGGCGCTTACCCACCTTTCAACGCCTCTCGTAAGAGAACAGAACCATTCTAAAGAGAACTGAACAAGCGTCCCCAGCACCCGGACCTACGAGGGCCCTTTCAGGAAGCGGAGGATGGACATCAGAGACCAGGGATTTCTCAGAAGGAGGAAATGGGAGGAGGTGAGGGGTGAAAATGTAAAAAAAGGAGAATGGCAATCCTGGCCCAGAAGTCTTGACCACGAAAACAGAGCTGCAAAGACCCTGAGGTTGCTGTCAGAGACGGGCCTGGCAGAAAGACATCCCTACGACCCATGAGTTCAGGACAGGAAGCCAGCACACCTTCCGGATGGAAAGCTACAGAAGCCAGCCTGCATTGCTGTGGCAGTGTGGTGAATTTCCAGCCATAAAATGAGACCCAAGATTTATGAAAATATCCATAAAGCCTTCCACATGCTTCTCAAGGCGGAGAGTGACTTTTATAAATGGATTCGCACAAGGCCAAGAGCAACAGCTGGAGAATGGAGAGGGTCAGGGACCAGCGGGACAGGGGTGGTACAGAGGGCAGGCGTCCTCCCTGCCGGATGGCACAGCCCCGCCGGGGTGTCGCTCCTCAGACTCCCCATGCAGAGGCAGCCACAGCTCCATATGCAAGTGACAGGAGTGCCAGGCTCTTGTCACTATTTCAGACACAGGCAGAGCTACTCCAGATAGTGCTTCTTGTCCCTCTGCCCCCCGAATCAGCCCAAAAACTGCCACCCTACTACCACCACCCTAGTCTCCAGCGCTTCCTCCACCCTGAGACATCCCCTGGACAGGGGGCTCCTACACTGTTCCCAGGTGATCTCCACCTCAAGGGTGCCTCTCAATATGCGCCCCAAATAGAAGCCTGCCACACAAGACTCAGAGTCACCCAGGAGGGGATGCTTACGTCACACTTACTCAAATGAGATCCTGGTCCATTGCTACTGGAGACGGCTGGGACACGCAGACAACAGGACTAGCAGATTGAGCGGGTGGCCGAACCCCCAGGGGAACCCTCACCACCTGCTCCCCAAGTTCCTTACCTTTTGGAGATTGCTCTGGCACTCCAGGTCAGCTTCTAGCCATCTCCTTTGAGAAAAACTAAACTCCAGCTGGATGTGGTGGTGCACACCTGGAATCCCAGCTCTCAGGAGGCTGAGGCAGGATTATCACAAGTTGGAGGCCAGCCTGGACTGCATAGTGAGTTCAAGGCCAGCCTGGACTACATAGTAAGACCTTGACTATGGACAAAATTCCTCAAACATGAGCACAGCTCTCCTCAGGTCCCCTGCTCTCTGCATTTTCCTGGAACACAGATAGCCTGGAGTGGCTTTAACTTTCCCGGGGAAAGAAGCAACTGTGGATGTGGAAAAGAAAAGGTGAATTCCCCCAAATTTTCCAAGTGTGGATTCTAGAGGCCAAAGCGTCCCATTGTTTTCTGATGGTTGCATGTGGACACGCTCACCAGCTTCGAATGTCCTCACCTCTGTGCACACAGCCTAAGAGGCCAAAACCTGAGACCTCCTGGGGACCCCGCAGGGCTGGAAGGAAAGGGCCTGTGTCCTGTAGCTGCAGCCCGGAAGCTGTGATGGCGCAGTGACATCCTGTGAGATAAAGAGGCGAGAGGGAGCAGTCGGCCACACCCTGGGCGCCTCAGGCCCCGCTGGCTCCAGAGGAGCCTTCCCATAATGACCCCCGCCGGCTCCCGTTGTTGCCCTGGGACACAGAATCAGCAAGCGAGCCACCCGCCCACCCGTGCAGCCGCTCAGGGCACTGGCTTGACCAGAAGCTGGCAGGCACCCACTGCTGGGTGTGACTCGGCGGGTGCCCAGGCCTGCCACTGCCCAGGTCTGCACTCCTGGGAACACCCTGGCGCTCACCCTCTTGCACAAGGGAGAAGACAGCCTTCTGGCCCAGGCCCAGCCGAGCAGCTGATGGGAATCTTTCACCAGCCTGAGCCTTTGTCCACGGGACTATGCAAGGGTGGGTTTGCAAGGCATTATTTCAAAGGTGGGACATTCTGCTTTGTTTCAGTTTTTCAGTTTTTTGAGACAGGGTCTTGCTGTGTAATCCAGGCTGGCCTTGAACTCATGATGCAGCCCTGACTGGCCTCAAACTCAAAGCGATTGTCCTGCCTCAGTCTCCCGAGTGCTTGGATTACAGGTGTGCACCACCATGCCCGGCTATCTCTTCTCCACACAAGCAGTTTCTCATCTACAGCAGGGATGCATGGAGCGCCTCTGAGGAATGGCCCAGGAAGACCCTCCTGGGCTCAGTATTCAGCAAGCACTTCCCAGGCGTCTGATACATGCAGTCACTGAACACCTAGCGAGGGGCTTGATGCAGGCTTGCCATGCAGGATAAGGACAAAACTTTCCTGGTTCAAATCCTATTTCTCCCTCTTGACAGCTGTGTGCCTTTGGGCACATCAGTCAGCTTCTCTGTGCCTTACTTTTCCTATCTACATAATGAGGATGCCAGCACCTAACTAACTCACAGAGCTATGAAAATTAAAACAAGATGGTCACAACCAATGCACTAAAAGCAGGACCTGGGATGCAACAAACCCACTGATAGAGCTATGAATAGAAGTAAACAGATAACTGGTTAAAACCAGCCTGTGATCTGGTCCTCAGTGGGGCGGCTGAGTCAGAGGAGAGAAAGCACCACACGGCAGCCCCTTTGCTTTCCCCCTTGGGCCCTCTTTTCTCCTCGGTCCCTGCTGTCCTGGGTATCAGAAGACCATGCACCCTCTGGAGTGGTCACACACAAGGTTCCTTGCCAAATACCACAACTCCAAGAACAAACCCACACCGGGGAGAGTTTGTCAGGTTTCTTCCCACGCCCCCCGACCCCGGGCAGATTTCCAACAACGCTGGGTTAGCTTTGTGCTATTTTCTTCCTCAATAACAACAACAAGGAAAAAACTAACTAAAAACAAGTCCTGTTACCCAGCTCTGCACCGCAACACAGTGCAGTCAAAGAAATTGCAACAGTTGCCAATTAGCATGGAAAGTGGCCTCTAAACTTCAGAGGAGAGAAGCAATTTCCAGGAAATGTATCCCTCCCTCATCCCTAAAACCTAAAAATGTTCATTTACAATAAGTCTACTTAATAGGAACACCAGAGAAATCCATTTGAACGTGGGGGAAATGCGGAAAAAGTAAACAGTTTGAAGCATTCTTTTTTGCATGCTATAAACTTGCACATTCAGTCTTATTTAATTTTGTTTCTTACATAGGGCTAGGGATTTAGCTCAGCGGCACAGCGCCTGCCTGGCAAGCACAAGGTCATGAGTTCGATTCCTGGTGCCGGAAGAAAAATAAAAACAAACAAACAAAAAAACATAAATATGCACAGGTGCATGCACATCAAAAGCAAGAAATACATCAGACTACAGTGTCTGAGGAAGAGTGCTTCCAGGAGCCCCACAGATTCCAAAATCACAAGTTCTGTTTGCATGTGATCCACACATATCCTCGCGTGTGCTACTTTAAGTCATGTCTGGATGCTTTATGACACTGAATGCCTTGTAAATACTATAGAAATAGTTATTGTACTGCATTGCTTAGGGAATCAGGACAAAAGATAAACTACAGATGTTCAGAGCAGATGCAATTATTTAAAAAATTTTTTTCAGTCTGCAGTGCATTGGGTCTGAGGATAGGGAATCCCTCAACACAGAGGGCAGCCTGCCTTAGCAGCTCCCTATGGAGCACAGCTTAATGGTAATTCTGTTCCCTTTTGTGTACATTTTTGTATTTTTCAAGTGGTATATAGTAAGTCTGTGTTATTCTTATAAGCTAGAAAGATACCAACATTACTATTTCAGTTTTACATTAGTGCTAGGGAAAACATTTGTTTATATCAGCAGCCAATAATTGTTAAACCGGTGTAGAAGTCCAAGAATTCAACTAAAATAAGAAAAGGACTAATTAGGAAAAATCAAGGAGTGAGTTCATGAAGTCGCATGTATCCCAGCTCTGAGACACTGAGGCTGGAGGACTGCAAGTTTGAGGCCAGCCTGAGCTACATATTCTATTTTAAAAGAAGAGAAGGGCCGGGCATGGTGGCACACACCTGTAATCCCAGCACTCGGAAGGGTGAGGCAGGAGGATCCTCGTGAGTTCGAGGCCAGCTTGGGCTACAAAGTGAGCTCAGGACTAGCTTGAACTGCATAGTGAGACCCTGTCTCAAAAAGACAAAAAAAAAGTAAGAAAAGAGGAGAGAGGGGAGGGGAGGAGAGGGGAGGGGAGGAGAGGGGAGGGGAAGGGGAGGGAGAGGGGAAGGAGGGAGAGAGGAGAGAAAAGACTTAATGAGCATAAAGGGAGAGATGAATTTATGTTTAGAATCTAAATTTTGTAACAAAGTATTAATGCTAAATCAGCAATAGACTTTTTGCCCTTTGTATCCACTTACCAAAAGTGGGTAGAATGTATGCAAATGTATCTTGAGGCTCCAGGAGTGAGGAGGAGGGTTAAGGTGCCTTTGAGAATCAGAGGAAAGCTACAAACAATAAACCTTTCCTCCCAGCAAGGCACACACTACACACATCCACACCCACAGAAGCTCACAAATGCATTTAGAAGATTCCTAACCCCTCACATCCATCCATCTGTCCCCATGAAACACAGGCCAGTCAAGTCTGCTTCTAGAATTGTCTTCTTGCAATCCTCCCCCAAGTTCTTTTTCATGGCGAATAATTTCAAGCACAAAGAAGAGCTGAAATAGAACAATAAACATCCACCTGGGTGCTGGGACTCTTCACCTTTTTATGCTAATAGCTTGATTTACCGCATTTTTGCAGAAGCAGCTTAGCCTTGTGGACATACCCGTGGATGCGTTAGTGTGTGCTCTTGAAAACAAAGATCTTCATAACAGCAAGCAGATTACACCCAGGAATATTAACAATTCCATTGTACCTGTTATCAAGAACCGACCTCTGTAACCTAAGGAACAGCCCTGGAGATGGAAAATCCCAGGAGAGTGGAAAAAACAGCAGGTGGTTTTCTAAAAAAATTGAAAAAGAGAATCAAGCTGAACGTCTCTGTTTTGGCTCCCCAGATGCCTTGGGGCAGCAGCTGCCACACCAAAGGCCAAGATGACACATTGCCTCAAGGCCCTGGGATAAAAGAGACCTTGGCGAGGCAGCTGCTGTGGCCAGCAATGGCCCACAGGGCCCTTGGCTCTCACCTGGGAGGGTGGCAGAGAGGAGTCACTGGACTCTGCGACACAAACGCTCTCCTGTCCCAGGGTCCACCACAGAGGAAGCCCATGGCCTGTTTCACGGCATCCGGCTCCTCCCTCCCAGCAAGCAATTCCCCACCCAAACTCAGCCATTTATGGCTTCAGCCATCCTTCCCCCCCCCGAGCCAACTCCCCCAGCTCTCAAGACAAGCAACGGGGCTGGCTCTGGCAGGGCCAGACATCACCCTCTCCATTCAGCCAAGACTTGTGCTCCAGCCTCATGGCTTCCCACGATGACTTCTGGATGCCAAGAAATTATAGAGTTCAAAGGTGAAAATAACCACTGGGTGTGGTAGCTCATGCCTGTAAGCCCAGCACTCAGGAGGCTGAGGCAGGAGGATCTTTGGGAGTTCGAGGTCAGCTCTGGCTACAAAGTGAGCTTAAGGCCAGCCTGAACTGCATAGTGAGACTCTACCTCAAAGGGACAACAAAACAAAACAAAACAAAACAAAACAAAACAAAACAAAGGTGAAAATAATCCACCCCTTCTCTGCCGTACCTCGTCTCCCTGGCAGTTCCCAGCACAGACTCTGAAGATCCCCAGCACCTGGAACGTAGCCCTACCCATGGTCATCCTCGTGACAGGGCTGATTATTTGTCTTCCCCACCAGATAGCACCCCCCCGCGAGAACAGAGCTCTGTTTTTTCCACTTTGTCCCCCGAGTGGTGGCTTGAGTGATAGCCCCCTAAAAAGGTAAACTTGAGACGAAGCCTTCGGTCTGGGTAAACGAGTGTGGGCAGCTGGAATTAACTATCTCCAGATACGATCAGCCCCGGGGAGCCCCTGCATCTAACAGCCTGTGTCTGTATAGCAGCGTGGAGGAGGGAGAACCAGGGACAAGTCACTCTGTGGAGACAGAGGCAGAGACTGGGGTGACGGGGACACACACAGAAGAAAGCTGGAAGGGACTGGAAGGAGGCTG